TTGGAGCCTGGTAGCTTATTTTGTACTTGCAAACACTAAAAAGAGTGGAAAAACATGAAAAAATTTTGTAGGAGCACTTGAGGGGACCTTTACTCACTGGGAAACAATGCCAACTGGCGGGGGAGGGGGGGTCTCCCCCTCCCACCGTGCATACGCGTCCCGGACGAACTACTATTCGCGAGTCAAACCCATGAAAAGCAAGTCATGTTATACAAAAATACCCCTATGATTTGGGGAAATTTACGAATGCCGGAAAATAGAAAGCGAGGGACCACTGACCTCCTGGGGGTTGCTTTCACCAACCTACACCTATAAAATTTAATTACAAACTTAAAAATGATGATTGATTGATCTAAACTGGGATCATAAATTGTACAACCTAATTTTAAAAAAAAAAGTAAAAATATAAAATTGTATTCTGCACTGTAAAAGAAGCTAATTTGTATTAAAAAAGTAAAAAATTTTATAAATTGTACTACCTCATATTAACAAGGTGAAGATTGACTGTTTTTTGTTTTGTTTGTATTCTACCACTCCCACCGTCAGAAAAAAATATGTATAAGTCAGTGGACCCCCGCTTAAAAAGATCACCCCAAAAGGGCCCCTTTTGTAAGTGTAATTTTTGAAGTGCGTTTGTCGGTGTTTTTTGGGGTCTGAAAGGACTAATCTACTTCAAAATTTCCTTAGGGGAAAAAAATTTGGTCAGACTGACCTGAAAAACTACTGGAATGAAAAAAGTTCGTTAACGGGGGCCACTGTATTTGGGAAAGTCTGCCCGAAATACCAGGCATGAAAAGGGGTTTCTTGCTCCACATACTATATGAAAACACACTTTTTAAACCCTTTGCAAAGAAAAAAAATATGGAGTATGGAAAAGGAATTTTTCAGATACTTGGGAGTTGACGTGCAGCGGATGGATTTATAAGGGGAGGGTTTAAACAAGAATTGATGAGGGAAAAAAAGGCAAGTGGTGCATTTAGGTAATGGGAGACAAAAAAAACGTTATTATGGAGGCAAAGAAGGAATTTTTGAAAAATATAGTATACCAACACTCTTATATGGGGGTGAAGTTGGGGTTTAAATGCGCACGGGAGGTGGTTGGGGGCAGTGGAAAATGTCCTGTCAAAGGGGGCAATGTGTGGTGAAAAATTTTTTATGCAGAAAATTTCAGATGTGGAAATTAGGAGAAGGTGTGGATTTAAATAAAAGAAATTAGCAGAGGGCAGAAGGGGGGGTTTTTGAGGGGGTTTTGGGCCCATTTAGAAAATTTGGACCCAAAGTAGAAGGGCATGGCCAGCGTAAAAATCTGTAGGGGAAGGAAGGGGGGGGTGGGGGCCCGCCCTTTGAAAAGGTTGGAGGGAGGGGGGTTTAAAGGGGGTTTTTTTGTGGGCGGGGGGCTTGGATTTCCCAAAGCAAGCTTTGCGTGAGGTGTTGATGGATGAAGGGAGACAAAATGGTTTTTGGGGACCGACGATCTTTTTTGGAGTGTGAGCGGGTAAATTTAGTAAAGGGGTTCGGGGAAACCGGTTTTTTATAAAACCCGGGGACTTGACCCCCGGGAAAGGGGAATTTTAAAATTTGGCCTTTGCACTCAAAAGGGGGTTTTTTGGGGTTATTGGCATTGGGGGGATATTTGTGTATCTTTATACGTAAATGCTTTTTAAACTTTTTGTTCGAGCACCTCCAAAAACAGTGATTATGTGTGAGTGAGAAAAAAGTTTTTGAATATGAAAAAAAGTTTTTCTTTTGGGGATTTTTTTTTCCCCTTTTTTGGGGTCCCCGGGCCTCGGGGGGAAAAGGGGCCAAAATTTGTTAAAAAAAAAAAAAAATTGAAACTGTTTTAATTTCAACTGTTTTTCTTTCAAATAACAAGCTTTACAACAAAAACCTAGGGAAAGGGGAAAATGCGGTCCCCATCATTCCCAAACTTACCAACTCGTACGTGGAAACCCCTAGAGCCCAAAAACCACTTCCCAAAAATCGTCCCTTCAAGCGTCATTTGGGTTTTACTTTATGGACGACGTCCTAAATAAAACTCCAGACGTTTTGATGTACGGGTTTTCTTCAGGCAAGGCTAAAACCATTTAAACCCGGGGCGATCCATTTTTACACTAAAAAGGGAAGGGCCCCAATGGCAATTTTCCCTTTTCCCTAGACGTCCTAAATTCACAAAGTAGACAACAACCTAAGATTTCAAGTTTATTAAAAAACCTTACAAATAAAAATGACCCCTCGCACACTTCTTTCCAAATTTAAAAGTTTACAAAAAGACCAAAAAGAGGATCGTCACTGGATTTTTTTTCCCCAGGGGCATGCCGAATTTTTTTTGACGAGGAATGTACGTTTCTTCAACCCAAACCCCAATTATTTACATTTTTTCCCTTTTTTTTTCACCCAAAAACTTTCAAGGAAAAAAGCACTTCAGATCAATTTAAATTTTTCCCCAACACCCAACCCCCCCTAAAAAAAGTTATAATTTCTTTCCCCAAAACCGATTGCACGAATGTTCCCAAAGTATTTTCAAAGTAACACCCGAATCAACCAAACCTTCTAGCACTTCAATAAAGAATCTAAACCCGAACAAAAAAACCAAGCCCCCCACAAACCAGTCCCAAAAAAGGGGTTTTACACTAACCCTGGGGGCTGCAGCAAATTTTTGTAGGTGAAAAAAGCAAGAAAAAATCGACAACCCGCCCTTTAATGAACAAAATTTACGCATTAGGGAAAGATAACTTGAAAAACGGGCCCTTTTTACAACACCCAAATTCCCCCCAAACAAACATCTCCGAAAAATTTAGGGGGCCCCCAATTTTGTAACAAAGAAACTATTTTTCCAAAAAGACCCCAAGTGCCTTTAATCTTTTAAAATCCATTTTAAAAAAAAGTTCAACAAAACCCAAAGGGAGCTTTACAACCTCTCTGAAGTCTTTGCAAAAATCCTCCCGAAAAAAAAAGAAAACCCCCGCCATCACATAGTCCCCCCCCGGGTTTTTTTCTACACAAGCACATTACAGAGAAAAGAACACGAAACAGGCCTTCTCTATTCCCCCGGGCCCCCAATAGGGAAAAATTTTTTTTTAACCCATTTTTATGTTACCCAAGGAATACTTTTTTTAAACCTTTTTCTCCCTGTTTTCAGAGTTAATTTTTCTAACATATTGTATTTTCTATATAACTTGCCTTACTGCTTCTCTACCACCACCCCCTAGTATTTTACCTCCCCCTTTAGCCTATTTTATACCCCCGGGGTCCTTTTAATGTTTGTGAGGCTTGAAAAAAGTCCTGGAGAGGCCCAAACGTTGCCACAATAAAAAATGCCAATTTTTCCCCTTTGTGTCCTTTTACTTTACAACCCTTTCCCTTGTCTAACTATTGGAAAAACCCCCGACCTAATCCCATTTATTTTTTCCCCCTGAAACTTCCTACCAAACCCCTTTCAAAACTTTGTTTTTACCCAAACCAGGACAAACCAAATTCTTTTCCAAAATTTTTAACAACCCAAAATCATCTCCCTTTTTGTATGTGTCTTTCAATTTCCTGTACAAACATCCCCGCCCTTTAAAATTTTTAAATTTTTATTTTTTATGCTGTAAGTTGGGATTTTTTGTTGTTTAAAGTAGGGGCCAAATGTGCTTGGGAAGGTCAAAAATTTACTTGAATGACCAGTGTAAATTGTCACACCCCTTGCCTTGCACAGCAAGCTCTGGTCCCCGTTCCTTTGTGCCCTGGAGAGTGACTCCCAAAAACCTGGGGTTAAAGGGGGTTGCAGAAAAGACAATATAAGCCAAGGAAACAGCTAGGGAGGAGAGAGAGAGGGCCTTGAGTGGGAGCTCTGGACAGCCCAGTGTGTAGTGGCCGCTTGGGGTGGAGCTTGGGTTGGCTGGGGTTTTGGGGAATTGAAAGAGAGTACGAGTCCGTGTTATGATAACGTTCTCACCCCCTCCTGGTAATAAGTCCCCCGAGTCAATTATTATACTATGTAATTCTCTAAGATAAAGGTTTTATTCCCTCTCTTTATTTTTTCAGTAAACTATAGCAATTTTTTCTTATTTTTATATGTACCTCTTGTTAAGCACTGGGTAATACAGGAGACAGCCATGCTCAAATTGTTGGGATACACAGGCAGAGTGGGTGAATGTCTCGCATAGTTGACTTTTACGACATGCATGGCTTAACGCAGGAACAATTCTTATTCCACTTCCCCATGGATAAGAAAGGAAAATAAGAACAAGAGCTATTAAGAAAAACCAAAGAACACTCAGATGAGTGTGTATACATAAAATGTATCATACATGTGTACTGTGACATAATTGTAAGTAAAAGTACTACCAAGATATACCTCTTATCTTGTGTTTATAAAACAAACAAAAAAAAGACATCAGCACTCCTACCATCAAGTAGGACAAATAAAGGTTTCTGTCTTGCACCATTGGGAGGACAGTAGTACGCAGCAGTAGTAGTAGTAGTAGTAGTAGTAGTACTCTCCTGGGTAGTTGCTGTCTACTAGTTCGAAATGGAATTCATGTGTAAAGTCTGGGAACATAACTAATGAACAGAGGAAATGTTATTTTAGTGCCAGGAAAGTCTGTACTCTTTATTCTGGACCCTATTTTGAAATTTGTATGAAATTGGCCAAATTAAACCAATTTCTGATCACTTTTTTGGGTAGCTGAAATAATTGATTGGGTAGTTTTCTTGGGCTCAATCAATGAAATGGAAGATAGCTAAGAATTTGGTCGCTGGAACAATGTAGTTGGCTTCAAATAGGACTCGAAGTGGGCAAAATTGCTGATGCATAAAAACACAAACAAACAGCAAAATTTGTGTAATTTCAACAATTTTCCATCAAATTTCATGCTTTTGGGTTTATTACCTTCAGAAAAAGATTCTCTACCATTTCACAAGAAAAAAAAATTGGGGGGGGGGGGAGAAGAATCTTGGACATTATGGACACTTCAGACTGGGGGTCTGATTACCCAGGGGTTAAAGAACCTACTTACCTTTGTTTTTGACTATGCACTGAAGTTTTTATTTTACTATGCAGTCACCTCTTTGGATCCTCACTTCTTGTCCATACAATCCTGTAATGAAAATTAGAATTTAATCACAAAAGTCTATTCACAGCATTTCTCTCAAAAAACTTCAAATTTTACTGCTCACAGGGAAAAAATGAGGGTGAGAGTTGATAAGGAGAGAGGAAGAGATGAGGGCAAGAGAATATGAGGAAGAGATCAGAGGGAAAATATATGGAATGACTTAGGATGTGTAAGCAGGTAGGATTACAGGTTGATCAGAGGTAAGGTATACAGAATGACTTAGGATGGTTAAGATGGCAGGATGATTACAGGCTGTTAGTGATCTTCTGGTTGCCCAATAAGATCCACCAGTCTTACATGCTGTGAGGATCGCTGTGCTGCTGCTGCTTGTCTGCTAACATAAAGTGGGTCATCCCCGAGCATTATGAAGAGTGTGTCAGTCAGGCCTGTCGGGTGAAGACTCTTCCCCCCCACCAGCCACTTACTAGACCCTCAAGGTAGGTGAGAGGTCTACCCCCCTTTGAGGAAACCCCCAAGGGTAACCCACTGGGGAACCAGTAGGGGACATGTTTGCAGGCTTATTCCACTCCCTGATATGCTGCCTCTCACAGACTTACATGTTTGTCCCTGTCCACAACTCCACCTGTATTAGGATGGGTAAAGAAGGATACAGAAAGGAAGAGGGAAAAAGAGAGGAAACCCAATGGGTACTACATTATCAGGATGGGAGCTAAACTCCCAATGCCTTATGGGAATGGAAGGCAACATTCACATTTGAACCAAGGAAAACAAGGATCAAGCTCCAGTTCCTTGGTTCATGATTTCTTTCATTATCCCTTTTCATGTCTATGCCATAGTACTATATGTTTGAGCTCTGGGTCTGTGCTGTTGTACTACACGAGCTCGGCACATTCGGATAAGCAGCAACCGAATGCCTGCAATGTTTATTCTGGAACTTACATTGAAATTTGTGTGAAATTGGCTAATTTACCAATTTCTGATCAATTTATTGGGAGAGTTGAATGTAGATTGGGGATTTCTGGGGGCATAATAACATGGGAAAACCCTTAGCAAGTAATAAAAATTTGGTTGACTGGAACAAGTAAATT